GGGGTTTCACCATGTTGACCAGGATGGTCTCGATCTCTTGACCTCGTGATCCACCCGCCTCGGCCTCCCAAAGTGCTGGGATTACAGGCTTGAGCCACCGCGCCCGGCCTTAACATGTTCTTTAACATGTTGATAAGCATGACCTTCAACTCTTTCTCCAAATTAATATGAAAAGGGAGATCATTTCTTAGTCTACACTTGGAATAAAAAGCCTAGAATTGCATCTACCTCAGTAAAATTTGTATGAGTAAAATAACTACTTTTAATTCTTTTACATTTCTCCCCTCTTCCATAAAGAACTGCTGTCACCTCCTCTACCTCCCAAAGAATTTTTTTTTCATTTCTGTAAGTTCAAAAACAATCCCTTTCACCGCCCCCAATATTGATGACTTCCACCAAATCACTCCTGAGCCATGTTTTCTGGACATTTCTTTGATGCCCGAAAGGGTCTTCAAACTTAACGCTATCAATGAAGTGGAAATTTTGCCCAGGACTTTATCAGCACGTAGTCAGCAACTGTCCCGTATTTTAAAACTGCCCCTGTGTTTTCTAGTAACGGCCTCTTTCTGCTTCTGTACCTCACAGCTTATTGCTTACTAACTGAAAAGCCTTAAGGAAAACTGCCGTGTTGTCTAAAGTTCTGAGTTACTTCCCCTGCCCCTTTACCTATAAAAACTGTGTACTTTTCTTAGCCGGGGTCCAGACTTGCCTGCCGGCGTAATAAACTGTGCTCCTTCAATGCCCTGAGTGCAGCTTGGGTTTCTTGTCAGGAAAGATTTTCCAGAACATCAACACATTTCAAAATGAATTAATTTTCCATTTCTCAGACCTGTTTCTCCTCTTCCAGACGCAGTCAATTTCAGCCCTCCTTTCTGCCCATTGTCCACCACTCACCCCATGTTTTATTTCATCCATAATCTTTTTCACTCCTCTATGCCCTTCTCAAAACCCAGGGTTGCTCATTCTGCCCTTTGCCTAATAATAATAACAATCATAATACTTTCCAGTAAGTGTTGAGCACTTACTATGTGTCATGCATGGTGCTAGGCAATTTATATGTGTGATCTCATTTAATTCTTACAACTTCTTATGACGTAGGTACTATTACCATCCCCAGTTAAAGACATGGAAACCGTATTGAAGGTGACAGACCTAGTGTGTGACAAGCTGAGAGTTTAATTCTAGTTTGAGAGCAGTGTTATGACCTGCCTCTTCCACCTTGGTAAATCCAACATCTCAAGGCTTAGTTATGTGTTTATTCCTAAATGAATCATTTGACAAATATATTTTGAGTGCACACTCTACCAGACATAGAGCCTGACACAAGTTATCAGCAGTGAATGAAGTAACCTTGGACCTGGATTCCTAGAGACCAGTTAGAAAGAGAAACTTTAAGCAAACAACCACACATGCCATTAAAATGACAGATGACAACTGCTATGGAGAAAGACTTTGGCTGTGGGTGATGTGTCTGTCTCCAGGCGTCCCATGAGGACTTTAGTCACAAGTTCAACATTTTTTTATTTCTCCATCATTCCATTAACTTGTTCTCTGTATTTATATGCAGTTCCTACTGCACTGAAAAATTAGATGAACTATTCAGGTTAGAAATTAGATATCTAGTTAGAAACTTTAGTCAACCTTAACCGTAAGCCTTTTTGGCATCATGACAAGAGTTTTAGGGCGAAGAAGACAGAAATACTATGAATGAAAAAGTGAGGCTGGATTTGATAAAAGGCAAGGTCGTCTCAATGTAAATCTTATAATTCATGAATGCATTTGTTCTATTTGATATAGTATGAGTTTGACAATGTTCAGAACATAATGAAAAGCTCTATATACTCAAATATTTGCCAGAAGGGAATTGTTTAGTGTTGGGCCTGAAAGGATAAATGGACAGGTAAGGGTTCTAGTTACTGCTTATTGTTATATTCTTTTTACCCTTTACCCACCTGCTGAATACAAACAAGTGGTCTTTACAAAAGTTAAAACCCCCAAATATGACATTTTAGTTCTCAAATTTCATGTGAAAAGCACTTACTCAGCTATAAAACAGCTATAATATTTTTAAACAGCTGAATTGACAGCAAAAGCCATAACAAATGCTCAAAGAATAGCATCTTGGATCAAGATATTGTGAATCAATGACTCAGAATAAAATCAAAATAAACATTACAAGGGTTTTATCAATAGATACCAACCCACTTAAGCCTGTAAACATTATTGTAAATAGATGTTAAATTGCACAGAAAGGTCAGACATTAACAGCAACAAGTGTGAGTAACTGAATTCACTCCTCTTAAAGTTATAATAAACCACACCAATTTGGAACTGCCTTCTTTTACTGGGGGAAACCGAATTTTTAAAAATATTGCAAAATAAAAAATATTTGCCTGTTCACACCAAAGAACGAAGATCTTAAATCTCAGTACAGGGTGCCATACTGTGGCCATGAATCTCACAACTGGTTGGCTTGATGTCAGTGCTCTCCTCACCTATCATACCCAGACAGGTAAATCAGATAGTTAACGTTAATGTAGACCATGAGTTTAAGATGAAAAATGTTATACAAGCTTTACACTAAGAGAGGTAAAAATCAGTGCCTTCAGGAATTATTTGAATCATCCCTAGAACTTTGTACCACTTACATCAAGGAGATTATTGACCTCTTCTGTTAACGATCTTCTCTTCTACACTAGTAAAGAGGAGTAACAAAAATAATCACCCTCAAATTCTGTGGCAGTTTTTGCTCTTTAGAAATTTGCTTAACTTTCACTTTATAGTGTAATAAGATTTCCACCCAGCACCCACTGCTGAAGATCTTAACTGCTTCACAATCAACATTTATTGTGTGTGGAATTCCTCCTCACCCCAAAGCAAATGTCCTTTTCCTCTATTCATCAAAAGGAAACAATTGGGTTTAAGATCTTGATCCATTTGCCCCTGCTTCTCTTTGTACCTGCAACAAACTGATAGACATTGGAGGAAGGCCGACCACTGGGAAATGTTATAGAATACCATGGGTTCACTCAATACTATACAAATACAGAATCTTCTATTTGTCAATTTTTACATATTTCACTCTCAATACGTATGTATTGTGAAACATTATGCTCATCACATGATTTTGGTGATTTTTAGATGAAATGAGACATAAACATTTTACTGTTGCCATAATTGTGCCTTAAATTATAACTCCTTTACCTATTTCATAAAAACAACGCATTTTACAACTACTCAATTATTCTCACTCAAATTCAATTTTGTATACATGATTTAATTACTGCAATTTTAAAAATTAGTATAGTCTGAGTTTCTTCATATCTAATTCTGAACATATATTAGAAAAAAATTGAATATGCTAATCTATGGAATAACAAGTCCTTCTAAACCTAGTAATTTTGTGATCATATACAATAACATATAATTGCAATAAAAATAAAATAATCTAAGGATATATAGCATGAAATGAAAGTATTATATTAATAGTCAACATTCAATATCACTGTAGGGCGTACTTTAGTTATACAATGCTTTTTATAGAAGGGAAAAAAGGGATTTTTTTTTTCTAACCTTATAGAGACTGACCTATATAAAAACAGTACATAAAAGAAATTAACTATGACAGCCAAGCAGTTTCAAAGAACAACGATTTGTGAAGAAGTTTTGACTAACCTACAAATACTGATCACTGCAATAGCAGAGGAAACTACTTACTAAACCATGGTCCCCTCAAAGCTACAAAATGAATAATGTAACTGCTGCTCTCAAGTAAGGGAACATGAGCGGAAACCTATCTTAAGTGGAGATGACTTCAAACAGCCTTTGAAACCACTTCATCCTGCCATTTTGCTATAATGACAAGGATGAAAACTATTGCTACAACCTCACTGGTTTTCTGCTTCAATTACTGCAAAGATTCTCTGCTGTGGATTAGTCACCTGGTGAGGCTCAAAAATTTGGAAGACAATTTTTCTGGGGTGGGCCTGGAGTACTGGTGTGTCATGAAAGTTCTCCGGGTGATTCTAATGTACAATCAGGGCTGCGAATCAATGCCCTGCTGCCGCATTTGTTGCCTTGGTTTCCCAGGCTTCTGTCTGGTCCTCCTGTGAGAGTGTCTATGAATGCTGCCAGATGACATTTCTCTAATGCTTACACAGTTAAATCCAAACTTCTGCGCAAACTGCACAAGACTCAACACGATCTGCTCTTAACTGCCCGACCAGCTGCCTCTCCCCTACTTCCCACCAGCTCTAGAAGCACTTGTTTGCAGCAAGCCTGGCCTTAGCCTTAGGGACCGTGCACTTACTCATTCCATTCTCTGAAATGCTCACATGCTTAGCTGTCTGGCGAACTGCACCTCCTCTGTGAAGCCATTCCTGACATCCTAGCGCCAAACCCTCCAGGTGTCCTCAAAGCACCCTATATGTACACAGTTTTGTGTTTTTTTCCAATCATATTGAATTGTCATTTTAGAACATATATCTCTCCCATCTTCATTAGACTTTTTGGAAGCAGAGCCTGTATCATATTTGCTCTATAACCCCCACACTTAGCACAGTGCCTAGCATATACAGCATTCTACATTTGCTGAATAAATGAATGAATACCATTTATACTATTTTTACCTATTATAAACAGAGCAAGAGGAGACTTACATTGGGGCCACTGAAAAAATCAGGTTCATAATAAAGAAAAAGCCTTAGTTTTTATTTAGTACTTGGTGGTGGTAGTAATTATTTATTACTCTAAAGATCAGCCTTCCAATAAGGTTACCAGGTTAATTTTCAACTTGGTTAAAGTCAAAGAAAAAGCTTCAATTAATTCCTTAAGAATGCTCTCAGCCTCCCCAAACCATATGCTTTCAGAATGATGGCCAATATACGCTCACCTTCAGCTCCATAAAGGAAAGAAGCCCCCTTAATGCCTACCACAAGTTGATCTAATCTGGCTGCTTCTGCCATGTAACATCAAACCCACACTCTGGTGAAAATGCTTACTTTGTATTTGCTTTCTGATCTGGAAGGGGTGGGAATATGTCCTTTTTTCTTGAAGGTTGTAAAGTGCTTGCACTGAGGACATGGCTTGGTGCTGGAATCAATACGGCCAAGTTCCAAGAAGTACTTATACTTGATGGAGTCTTCATGCGTTAAGTTATAGACAACAGTTGTTTCTTCCAAGAATTCAAAACACTCTGTTATTGGGCATTTGATTTCTACTTGGCCAAGTTGTACCTGTATGATGGAAGAGCAGATGGAAGGGAAAAAAAAGTCACTGGTTATTTTCTTTCATTTATTTATTTTTTTTTTGGTATACAGTATTACTTATTTCATGATTGCAATAAAGGATTGTGTGTAATTTTTAAGCTAACATAACGAAAGTTAATCACCTTGATACCTTATTTAGGCAATACCAAAATAATTAGTATATAATGTTTCCAAAATGATTTATAGGGTATTTAGGTCTTCTCTGATCATTGTGTGTGTGTGTGTGTGTGTGTGTGTGTGTGTGTGTGTGTGTGTGTGAAAAGAAATGGACCTAAGCCGCAGGTTCACCAAAGAAGCAAATTATCATTTCACGTTTCTGGAAACTGCAGGGTTAGACAGCATTCAGATGATGAACCAACTGCAGGAGCTGCAGGGTGAGGCAGCATTTAGACAGTATGCAAACTAAAAGGTGTTTCAAGTTTTTCAACTTCACTGTAGAATACTTAACTCTGGGCACATTTTACTATTTTAAAAAGACAGAAGAGATTTTGTAATGCATAATGCCTAATAGTTTAAAAATTGTTACCAAAAATAACTGTTTTCCTGACGCTTCTGTGTTAAGAACATAAAGCAAGTAGTTCCTATATAATAAGAATCACAGGAACAAGTAAGAAAATTAAAACAGCTACAACAGTAAAAAATCCTTATGAAATCTGGCTGCTACTGAGGTAATTTACAAAATTGATGTACTCAAAGGACTATGGAGCTAGATTAGGAGAGAAGAGAGGATACATCAGAATGTGACATTTAGCATGTGGTATGGAATACTAGATATGGTTAGCATTAAAGATTACAATAAAAGATTAAAGCACCAAGTGTGGACACAACTAATTTTTAAATAATTTAAATAAACTACTTTGAAATAATGAGTAGCTAGAGTGTTTTTCATAAGCAGTGAAAAATAACTCTTTATATTCATGGCACTACAATCTCTTTTGTCCATCCTAATGTAGTAAAGAGAGGCACCAAAACCTCCAAATCACAACACCAAACTCTTTCTTTTTTATTTGGATGAATCTGACATTCTCAGAAAGCAAAACATATCCACTTGCAATAGAAAAGCACAATATGAAGACTCAGATAGGAATGAGAGAAAGCCACGCAGTTTGGAGAAAGAAGAACATCATCACAAAGAGCAATTTAAAAAACCCTAAATTCACAGGAACTTTTAACATTGCTGTTTATCTGGCACAAACTTGAAGAAAGGTAATTAAGAAGTTACAAGCTGAAGGCTGAATGCGGTGACATGTTGAATACCAGTAAAGCTAAACTGAAAACAAAATGAAAGAGGCTGGCTTTGGATAAATCTCCTTATTAGTATTGACCTGTTAAAAGTCTAAATTGTTGCATAATTTTATACTGCTATTGTACAAAACATGGCCCAGAGAGGATTTAAAATATGTGCCCAAACATTTTTTTCTACTTTTTCTGATGAGTCTGCTCACAGTCCCAATCAGATTTTATTATTATTCATGTTACAGAGTTACGATGCTATTATAACTCAAATTACATTTTAAAATAAATTATTTTGTTCTACCTCAAGACAGAAGTCCTCAGGAGATTTTTGTGTAGATAAAAATCCCTGTTTAGCATACTAAGAACTTACCTTAATGAAGTATATAACTTAAATGTTAAAAGATGATTAACTGTTTCCTTTTCTAATATTCTGTAGACATTTACTGACCACAATTCTGAGGCAGGTACGGGCTAGGCACTAAAGCTTTGCAGGTGCAGGTCCTGATTGCCCTTTACTGAAAGAGGCAATCAGGAGGCAAAATGGTGAGTACAAGGTGTCAGGAGAAGTATAGTAATCTCAGACCTGCGGGGATCAGAAGAGGCTTCTTGGAAGAAATGAGGTTTCAAGTAAGAGCTTAAGACTAGTAGGATTTAGCCAAACAAGGGTGAGAAGGGGCTCCAAGCAGACAAAAGAGACAACATGGGCAAAGGCCTGAAGGAAAGAGAACACAGTACTAGCAAACCCAATTGGATCAACTTGGATAGCACCCAAATGCACATGCATCTGAACTTAAAGATCACAGCCTTGGGATGGGGCTTAAAGATGAGCAGACTGGACCACAAAGTGTGAGTAAGGGAAGATGAGGCTGTAAGGAAAGACGAACCAGCTTGGACCAGAGCATAAGAGCAGAGCATGAAGCCATCTTAGGAGTGTGGAAGTTTTTCTTATAAAAATAGAAACTATGCAGTTTTCAGAACGTGAAAGACAGTTTCTTTCAAGTCCACAGAAAAGGGTCTCACTTGGGCCACCTCAAGAGGCCCTTGTTATTGGGAAGCAGTACATTTTCGTGATTAAGAACCTGAATGTTTTACTCTTTAGGTCAGTGTTTGAATCCAGCCTTCCTCACTTATGAGTTTATTTTATTTTAACTATAACTATATAAATGACAAAAATGGAAGCTGCAGTAATTTCACAGGGGCCCAGGAATAGTTAGGTCTTACGGAAACTGAATGTAGTTTAGGGACTACAGCAATCCAAGGCAGCTAAAGGGGGCAGGTTGTCTTGATACTCCTTCAGCAGTGGGTACTCGTTACTCAACCACATTGGGATACCATCCAACATCCAATCATTCACACAGACACTTTCTACTTCAGTATTTCTCAAATCTGCAAACCTATCAACTTCCATAGAATATATTACTTCCTCTTGCTTTCATACTCGGCATTGACTATTCCTTACCTTCCCTTCTTTCTAAAGGTTCCAAAATCCCTATCCTACTACATTGAATCAAAGACTTCATATTTTATTGAACACATAGAGGTAATCAGATGCATAGTCCCATACCTTCCCACTACCAGCTCTAGCAATTTACATCTTTGTCTTCTGTCTTCCCTCTGTAGAGGGCTGAATCTATTTCCAGAACAACTGTATATGAGTCTCTTAAAGTGTCTGTTGAGCATTCCAGTTTCGTGGCCCACTCAAAACCTACAGAATTGGAATCATTGTTGACAAGCCAGTAACTGGCAGTTTGGAACAACCACTCACACAATCCTTTGATTACTCATACTTCCTCATGCTACCAATATCATCTTTTTCACAATACAGTGTTACTCACCAATGCAATCCCTTAGCCTCTACATGCATCTTTTTCAGAAAAATTTCCTCAAAAGATGACTAGCAAACAACTAATTATGATTAAGTGAAGTATACTTTTTCATGCGTTCAACAAGATATGTATTTTATCAAGAATGCATCTTAAAAGCACATTTTAATTGTTCAAAAGTCAAGTTTTTTATAATCATAAGAAAGTATTGTATGATAGTTTAATTTTCAGTGTTTTTACCTTCTTGGCAGCACATAACCTAATACTGCATCCTACAATTGATCACATCTTAGATTTCAGTTAAATGTGGTTTTTATGGGCTAGGTAATGTGACAAACTTCTAGAGAGACAAGAGAAGAAAGAGATACAGGGTGTCTACTGAAGGAAATGGATAAAAAGCAAGCAAATAAACAAGGCAGATAGTAACCAGTGTTATGAATGAACTATACAACACAGAGGCAACCTCTAAGGAAATGACAACGTGAGTTGAGAACTGAAAGGCCAGTCATGAAGAGAACATGAGGGAGAGACAGAAAACAAAGGAAAACAGGACACTGGTCCCACACAGGTGTCTGATGTGTCTCTGCTCAGAGCACAGAACCCAGTGGCCAAAATATATACTAAATGGGGGAGAGAACAGTATGAGATGAAGTTGGAGAGTTAGCAGAAGACAGTTGGAGAGTTAGGCAGAAGAGAGATCACACAGGTCTCATTGGCCGTGGTAAAGTCTGTATTATATAAAGACAATACGAATCACTGGTTTTAAGAGGAGGACTGACATGCTCTTCTTGGAGAAGAGACTGTGGAAGAATACAAGTGAAGGCTGGGAGAATCCTGGAAGTCTGGATTCAATGGCTCTTCCCACAAGTGATGTCCAGCTGTTACAGGCAGTAGATGATAGATGACTGAGAGGTAACAAGATACGGGGTGTATTTTGGAAGTAGAATCAATGAGATTTTTTTTTTAATTGACAAAAATTGTATATATTTATGGTATATAACATGATGTTTTTATACATATACATATGTGTACAGATCAATATATATTGACCAAGCTAATTAACAAATGCATTACCTCACATATTTTTATGGTGAGAACACTTAAAATTATTCTTAGCAATTTTAAAGCTTATAATACACTGTTAATGACAGTCACCATGTGTCATGTAAATGTGTCATTAACATGGTGACTGTCATTAACAATGTATTATAAGCTTGAAATAATGACAGATCTTTTGAAGTTATTCCTCCTAACTGAAATTTTATATCCTTTCACCAACATCTCCCCAATCCCTCTCTGCTTCCCCCACACAGCCCTGCTAACCACCATTCTCCTCCCTGTTTCCGTGAGTTTGACTTTTTAAGATTCCATATATATGTGAGATTATGGGGTATTTGTCTTTCTGTGCCTGGACTATTAAACTCAACACAATGTCTTGGAGGTTCATCTATGTTGTTGCAAATGACAGGATCTCCTTTATAAAGACTAAATAGTATTTCCTTGTGTATGTATGTCACATTTTCTTTACCCATTGATCCACGATAGACAATTACATGTCTTTTTCCATATCTCAGCTATTGGGAAAAATGCTACAATGAATATGGGAGTACAGATATCTCTTCAACATACTAATTTTATTTCTTTTAGATATATATGCTGCAGTTGGATTGCTAGATTATATGGTAGGTTTATTTTTAATTTTTAAAATATATTTTATATTGCTTTCCATAATGTCTACAACAGTTTATATTCCCACCAACAAGGTACAAGGGTTCCCTTTTCTCCACATCCTCGCCAACACTTATCTCTCATCTTTTTCAGGATCATGCCAACAGGTGTGAGGTGATATACAGTTGTGTCTTTAATTAGTATTTCCCAAATGATTAGTGGTGTTGCCTTTTTTCATAG